TACAACAAATTTCTGGTATAATCAGAAGTCATGTTTTGGTGTAAGCAGATAAGCAATATATTATAGGCTTGGACTAGGATTGTGAACAGCACAAATCTACTGTTTGTGATTGCTACCACCAGGACGAACTACTAAGTAACTTCAGTTAAAGGTCAAAAGTTTCAAATCAATAATTTTTCAAAAATAAATGATTTAGTAGAAGTGCTAAGACTGCCCTAAAGAACTATAGAGGTTATATCACCAAATCATCAATTACGTGAACAGGCAAAGACAAGTTCTAGAAAAAACCCACTTACAAGTATAAAAACAGACAAAACTGGAAAAAAAAGAGTGATCCGTCAGATATGATTTGGACAACTAGGATCATAGGGTTCTGCTATTGTACGATTAAATAGCCTTCCAAAAGTAAATAAGAAAGTTATTCGTTCCCTCTCCATGATAAACTATTCATATCAAGTAATTCTCGAATAATTTAACAGCCAACGCCTTAGTAGTTGTAAAGAGGATTATTTCATCAGATGTTCATTCTTCCTTACTTCCTTACTCTCGAAAAGATAACTTGCTTCTTCTGTGACCATATTGAACGTAGTAATCTAGAAGCAGTTATATTCAGATGTCGACTTTAGCAAGTAGGATTATATTAGTTAGTAAAATGTGAACAAGAATCAATGTTTGTGTACGTGTAATTTGGGCGGAATTCTTTGAAGGGCGGTTCAACTTGCTTGCTGTTCCGGCAACATCGACCAGATTGTCCTGCCCTCCATGGCCGGTGATGACTGATTCACCAAATGAGGCAGAAGTCCGCAAGGAACTCCAACTCCTGAAACGCTACAAATCACCAGGCCCAGATGACTTACCTCCGCCTCTTTTTAAAGATGGTGGTGACCTTCTGACTAAAAAATTGACTGTGTTGTTTACAAAGGTTTGGGAGCTAGAGAGCGTTCCAACATCATGGAATGAGTCGATAGTCGTCCTTATCTTTAAAAAGGGTTCACGTTGTTCCTGCAATAACTATCGGGGGATAAGTCTACTTTCGATTGCGTCCAAACTATTGGCTTCTATCTTTCTTCGTAGGTTGTTTAAAACCCGAGAACGATTGACTCGCGAGGAGCAGGCTGGTTTTCGTTCTGGTCGAGGATGCATTGATCATATCTTCACCCTCCGCGAAATGTTAGAACATCGTCATATTTATCACAGGCCAACATTCGTAGTGTTTTAGTGATATCAGGGCTGTCTTCGATTCGTTGGACAGGACTGTTCTCTGGGATTGTCTGTCGAAGAAGGGTGTACCTGAGAAGTTTATTAACATACGAACACCTCAGGCAGAGAGAGGGCATACAACCACCTTTCTCCCTTGTTCCATTTAAGCAGTGGGGTTAGACAGGGTTGTACAATCTCACCATTTCTCTCCAAGTTTGCTATCGATGACATCCTGGAAACAGCTCTGATGGATGTAAGTAATGGCGGTGTGGATATGTTGCCTGGAGAACGACTTCTCGACCTTGAGTATGCGGATGATATTGTCTTACTGTGCGATAATGCTCAAGCCATGCAATCCGCACTTAATCAGTTGGCAATCAGTGTCCGCAGGTACGGCATGTGCTTTGCACCCTCCAAGTGCAAAGTACTCCTACAAGACTGGCAGGATTCTCATCCTGTACTCACCCTGGATGGTGAGCAGATTGAAGTAGTTGAGAATTTCGTGTATCTAGGTAGCTACATAAGTGCTGGTGGGGGCGTGAATGATGAGATTGATGCACGTATAATGAAAGCCAGAGCGGCTTATGCCAATCTGGGCCATCTTTAGTGACTTCGTGATGCTAGTCTGGCTGTAAAAGGTCGGATCTACAACGCGTCGGTGAGAGCAGTTTTGCTCTATGCTTGTGAAATCTGGCCTCTCCAAGTTGAGGGTGTTAACCGACTCTCTGTGTCTGATCATCGTTGTCTCTGAAGAATTGCTGACATCCAGTGGCAACACCATGTTAGTAATGCAGAGGTTCGGCATCGTGTGTTCGGGCACAGTAACGATAATTGGGTTAGTGTCATTATCTTCAAACATCGACTTCTGTTGCTTGGACATGCTTTACGAATGTCGTCTCAGAGACTTCCACGTCGTGCATTATTTGCCGACTCTGGGGCTGGTTGGAAAAAGCGGAGAGCTTGTCAATGTATCCTATGGTGTCGCGGTATGAATGTAAGCCGCAAAGAGCTGGCTTCTGTTGGTCCTTCACGACTCCCTGGCTGGGGTCCGAGAGATGGTGTAACACAGTGGCTAGAGACGTTATCAGATATGGCTCAGGATAGAAGCTAGTGGCGATCCTGCTGTAACCTTCTTTTACTTTCTACATAAAGAGTGGTTCTAGCTTCCTTAACTGAAAGAAAATCTTCTGGTTGTACATTTCAGTTTCCCCTATCATTACTCCTATTTTTGTTCTGTATAAAACGTTTAATTATGTTATTAATAGTTGATATTCAATGAATGAATGTTAATCATCTGTTTATTAAAAAATAATACAAATTGAAAATGTTTTTAAAAACGTCGATATAAAAAATGAAAATCATCAAATACATAATTATGATGTTAGAACATTCAAATTAATTTCAGTCGGCAAAAAAGCCGCATGTAATCTAAACAGGATGGAAATAGACATAGGGTTCAACTAATGATTCACATATTACTGGTTCATCTCATCCTTATTAAATTCAACATTTGAATATGATTGGATAAGTATTTATTTTAGATTTTAATTGTTAAACGTTATGTATTCTTGTTGAAGTTTTGTTCTCTGAGCTGGATGGTTTAGTCGTGGAGCTTTCATCGTCCTTTTAATTAATAACGAGAATTCGGGATAAGTTTGTGAGACGAGATTTTCGAATTATTTAAACTTAAATCGCGGAAAAACAATATCTTCTGTATACTTAGTGCCAAATTCATGTCAAAATATTCGTATAAATCGTAAACATTACATATAGAATATCGTTTCTTGTTACTTATTTTATATTGTGATTTCATGGATATTGTTACGTCCTTGAATCTGTCTACGCACTTTCGTGCCGAGGATAACTTGTCTAATGTACATTAAGATCTTGATACGATAGGCTGACTGGCTTAACCTTGAGGCTAGTGTGCGTGAGTTCGAAGCGGGGGTTGAGAGAGAAGACAACTACACTACTCGCTCTATTCCAATCCCGATCTAGCACTCGAATTCAGATTAGTGTAAAAAAGATACATGAATAAATAGATGACTAACCTGACCACGACGTACAATAATTAGGAAAATACAATTATGTCCAAAACTGGGGGATTAAAGTACAAAAGGTCAAGTCTAAATTACAATAGCTTTGGAACGAACAGAAAATGCTATGGCAGTGAATCATACATCAAACGAAAGCTCATGATCTGTAGAATAGACTAGGGAAAAAAGTAAATGTTACAGTTTTACAAACTTTGAATTAAATGAAATAACGTCCCCAAAAATAGTTTCCGTAATTTGTTAAGACTTCTTGTTTCGCTATTCACATCAGATATCATAAAGGCGGAGAAAAATTCAAAGCGAACAAATTCTGCAAAATGGAGATTATATAGTTTTCATATTTACCATTAACTATGTCTTATGACAACAAATATAACTTGAGTTCATATATAAGATGATACTCTAGAACACAATTGAAAATGATCGCGAACTCTTATTGTATAATTAATCCTACCTATTCTTCAGGAATAAACATGACTTAGAATATGGCAGATCAAGAATAAGATTTCCAGAATCCACTGTCTTATTTTGCAAGTTGTTTTAAAACTTACTTAGTATCCTGATGTTGAAACTATCTTCGAAAAAAATACCGAATGTATGACAAGAACTTACATAGAAACTTTGTATTTCAATTTAGTCTTCAGATGAACAATACTGAAACCAACTATCCTAACATCCAAATTAGGAGGAATTCGTACAAGCATCCAGATTTGCTTCATTTAGAATAAAATGGTACATTATCATCGTTACTATGGTTACTGATACTTACATTTTTCGTAAATAATTTAACTAATACTATTACTAGGAATGGGTAACAAACTAATAATTTATTTTCAAAAGATGTTCGGTGGAGATTTTAGTAATTTTATAGACTTGATATTATGAGTCGATTGAAGCTAGACCATCATCGAAAACCTGGAAGCACTGGACGACCGTTTCGTTCTATTATGGGACTTCAGGTAGGTCCTGGTTTCGAATCTCGCGAGTGCGGGATCGTGAATGTGCACTACTGAGGAGTCCCATAATAAGACGAAACAGCCGTCCAGTGCTTCCAGATTTTCGATGATGGTTTCGCTTCAATTGACTCATGATGTTAACTCTATAATAATTTATTTAACAATATCACGAGGTTAGGATCTGTTAACAACGATCAATTGATCACAATAGAAATATATCCTGGAATAATTCACGCTTTTCTGTTGCAAATAAGACGTGTCACCTTTCTGAATTCGAAAAAAACGATCTATTTTATATGAATATTCGTCAACATTAGAATGAATAGTTTGACGAAAATTGGGTGCCGAGTATAGAGAAGTCACTATCCATCTTTGCATACGCTTGTGAAATAAGGTTATATCGAGGCAATACGCACAGTATGCACATATGCCAATTAGAGACTGATCAGTTGCAGTCCTAAACATCAATGGGAAGATTCAAACAAATAATGCAAAGTGAATTTAAACTTCACCCCATTGCACAAGCAAGTAGCTATCAGGACTCCGTAGGTGAGTGGATAACGCGATTGAGTTTGAAGCGAAAGGTACTGGGTTAGAGTTCCAGAGTGAACATCAACTCGGAGATGCAGATTCATCCAGCTAACGAGCCTCAAGTAGGACGAAACGTGCGTCCTGGACTCCACTGCTAGCCACTATTCATCTTTGCTTACAAAAGTCATTATATGTGAAAATTATATTTGAAATAATTTCAGCCATTCAAATCTAAATAATCCCAACGTTTTGTCCAACAAACTTGTCTGGACTTCTTCAGGGTGATAATCGATCTACTAACTAGAATAATTCTCTGTTCAACACAAATAACCTCATTGATAAACATTAGTTAGCTATTCAAATGATAAGAGTTGTCAAGTTGGTGCATATTCAATCACCTGTCTCTTACTACTACTATAAGTAACCTAAATAGAATATGATCAATTGTTGAGTAAAACTCTAACTTACTTAGTAACAGAAAATTATTCTTTTTTTAAATGACTGTAATTCACCTTCTGCGTTTTCAACTATAAACAACCTCTGACCAGAAAAGTAGACATGGATACAAGTATCTATCTATATACCAGATTTCGCCATGTATAATAAGACGAATCCATTTATGATTGTCATCATAGAAACAAAACACGAGATGAAAACATACATAGAGATTAATTGAAAAAAGATAGTAAGGACTGTTTTATAGATACACACACATACATAAATGCATGTATGGTAATGCATATATATGTATAATTAAATGTAAGATAGTACAATGCATCAGTTGTCCACTTTCTCTCTTTCCAATCAATTATTGCAAAAAACCCAAATACAACCTTCATTTTTCTACAATCCTATAACTTCTTCTACCTAATTTTTATCCATCAATTTACTTTTATAACTGAAAGATCACAACTAGAAGAGAGAATCTCTATCACAATAGACACACCATTAGAAAAAACACAAAAGTCGAAGAATAGATACAACCCAAGGAACAAACCTTGTTTAAATAAACAAATATGAACTATACAAAGTGGTAGTAATCATAATAATAATACTAAAGTAAAGAATAGAATCGGGAATCAATATCAATAGGCCTTTCAATCGTCTTGTCATTCGTGAAGAGTCCTGTAAGCTAGATAAGTACAAGATAGATAATGATTATCAGTTAGTATTCATCTGATAGACAGTTTTCTAATTCATTTGCTTTAGGCTTACATGCTACAGAGTGGGGAAACACACAGAGAGAGAGAGGGAGGTAATAATCATTCTGATTTATTGAATCCATAAGTGAATAGATAGAAACTGAAAAAGAATGATAAGATCTCTGTCTTTCAATGGTTAAAAAAACAACATGAGAAATTTAATTTCTGGAATAAGCGAAAAACAATGAGAATTTATATATTAAATAAGTGGATTGTTTTATTGAAGAGAAACGAAATCGATATACTACTTATAGCAAGATTAGCAAAAGAATCAACAGTAGTAGTAGTAGTAGTACAAGAGGCAAAAGAAATCAAATTTAAAAAAAAACATTTTCAGCATTAGGAGTTTTGCAGAAACTACGAGGAACTAGTCTCAGTTCGTCCAGTATTCAAATTACTGCCACTATATATTGTATTATTATTATTATTAGCAGTAGTAGTAGTAGTGACGGTATCTTTTGTTTGATGAGTAACTTGAGCAATATTCATTTCATTCCCTGATATAAACGAATTATCATTTTCACGATTTATCTTCATTGCATTTGTTGCTGCAACAATCTCTTCATAACTAGGCGGCGGTGGCGGTGGTGTTATATCCGTTGATGTCATATTTAAAATTTGACTTGATGTAGCATTCTGTTCATTATCATATAATGCACAATTAAATTGATGAGTATGATTTGATGATGATTTAGATAAAAAAGAAGAAGGATTTATGATTTGTTGTTGTTCATTTGGTAATAAATTAAAAGAAAATGCATCCGGTATTATTATTGCGTTATTTGTATTGTTGTTGTTAGACTCAGTTTCAATGGCAGATAATTTGACAACATCTGTATATGCAGGAGGTAAATCTAAGTTTCTATTTGATAACAGAAAAAAAAGTCAAACAAAAGTAATACACGGATTAGTACTTTCATTATAAAATGTAAACAGTTTACAAAATGGCACAGATTTTATAAAACATTTATAGGGTTCTGAGTGATTGTTTCAGCTTATTATTATGAACCTCGAAAGTTGGCATATATATGACCTAATCAAGAGTCGAACTAATTAACGTAAATGGCTCACAATGAACAGTAAATCTAAAGAACTCTGTTATATCTTAGCGAAGAAATAAGTATGGGTAACTTCCAGGACCTATTAATGGACTATTATTCTATATATATTCTTATTGTTTAACTATTGAGTAATTAGATTGTGTATATCTATATTCATCTTATTATAAGATTCATTTTGACCTATGCACATTTATTATTATACGATTTAATGTCCGAGACATATTCAGTTTATTGATTACTGTCTCCCATGTTCACAGCCACATTTGGCTTGATCTTGTACAAATATTATTTTCTATTTTATGGTGTGATGCCGTCTGTCTGTCTAATATATAAACCGAGTATACTTGAAATAAATGATTCGCATAACAGAAGCTGTAATTGGTGTTCTGGATTCAATTGAAAGGGCTAGGTGGACAAGGGACCAATAAGTACACTATACTGCTCACACCAGTCGACGTCATTAGTTAACACAGTGCTAAGATTGAGAAAGTCGTATTTCGATTGGTGAATAATTCACGTGATAAAAAGCCGGACATAAAATCATAAAGAATTAGATACGGCCTTCTTTCTTTTATGAAGTCATAACAAACTCTATGTTACAAAAAATATTTCGTCAAATGCGATGTTGAATTAGCTCTGGGGATTTGACATCCCCAGAACATACTCGGTAAATGGCTTAATTTTGTAATTTCATTTTGAAAATTTGAATTTCTTTGTTTCCCCGCCAAAAGCGTTCTTTTTACCTTCAGGTCGTGTTTCCCACTTGTAAAATATCTTAAACGATATTGGTCCGCTATATTTTTGGGTGTGCTATTTTGTAATACTGCCCAAGGACAATTAATTGCTGTATATATATACGCTTGATTTTTCCCCTTTTTGATTGCTGTGCTTTTGGCTGCTACGGAATATATTTTCACCGCTTCCACCTTCGACTTCTTACTCTAGTTAGCTGGGTCGCGTTAGAATAGCTAGCTTATCGGTCTTGGTGATAAGTCTTTGTTCCGTTCGCTACTAACGAAGTCAAAACGCTTTAGATATAACAAGCTCAATATACCATATTAACAATAACCTAAGAAAACCAAATCAATTTTCACATATATATTTCAAATGTACCTAAAATGTCTTAAAACACCAATGAAATAACTATTGAATCTTCACTAGCTGACAACTTTCTAGCTTAGTGTCGGTCTGTTATAAAAACAAAGAACCCATTTCCAAATCAATCAATTTGAACACAATTAACTGAAATATGAAACATGATGACGACGACAACAACAACAGTAACTACAAACTAATTTGATAATACACAGAAACCTGCTATTTAAATAATTACTTCCGTTATCTGTCCAGTCATATTCTGTTGATAGTTTTGATAGTACTGTTAAAAAGACTTAAACTTTATGACAAATACAACGATTGTGTACGAGAAGCATATAAGAAACAAATGTATGTATGATTACTTGACTAGTACCATCATACAAGTAAGACTAAGTCTAATGAAAATATAAATCAAAGATGATATTCGAGCAATATTTACTTTTCGTTACCTTCAACAATTAATTGCAATTATATTGTGTGGAGAAAAGTATCCAATTTGAAAGCATCTTTCATCATAGACTCATATTAGTAGGCTACCACCACCAGTGGAAACTATCAGATATCATCATTAGTATAGGGTGGTGGAAATTGTTGAGTTTTTGTTGAGATAATGAACTGATCGATGTTAGACTGCCATTGAAAACCTGGAAGCATTTTTGGGGCTTTTTCGTCCCAGTTCATGTAAGAACGGCCCGTCGGTAGCCTATCGGAAGACTTAAGAAGCCCAGGAAGAGCCGCAGACATTTCATCCAATCACGGCGAGGGGAATGTTCTAGTAATGCCAACGTGGGGCTTCTACATTGGATGGATTAGTTTGATACCTATTGTTATATCTAGAGTCTCGATTCTTAATATGCCGCGAACTACTCGTCTACTTGAACGATAGAACCCGCAACGTCGCAAAAAAAGAGAAGACAAAGACTAGTAAGCAGGAAGTTTATTGCCCCGAACAGTGTCAAAATATAGCACAGAAATCTCGTGTATTTATAGTTATTGGCTGAAAATAAATTATCATTTAGGTCAACCAATAAGCACATAGGTATCACACTAATCCACCCAATGGAGAAGCTCCACGTTGGCATTTCTAGAACATTCCCCTAGACGTGATTGGATGGAATGTCTGCGTCTCTTCCTGGGCTTCTTAGGGTTTTCTAAAGTCTACCGACGAGCCGTCCTAACACCTCCCCCTTTGAAGTCTGTGATGTATGAATTTCTTTTTGGATTTTCTTGAAGCATTGTTGTTGTTCTCGTTTTTCTGTTCATCACCCTTGTCGGCGGAACGCTCTCACTCTTAAGTTTTTCTAGTCGTTGGTTACGGCCTTCTTTCGGGTCTTTCTCTACCAGAATGTGGAACGGTACTTGTGTATCTACTGCTGCTGTTCTATGATTACTTTTTATCTGATTCATATGTCTGGTACATTTTCCGTCCCTTCCACGGACTAAATAAAGTACTTTCCCGATACGCCGTACTATGACACATGGTTCTCATTTCTGACCGCCTTGATACTTTACAAGTACTTTTACGCCGCGGTCGTTCGTCTGATACTCTTGTACAGGTTTTCTTCTTTTCTTGGGTGGCGATTTTTTTTCAAATATCCATGGGTTCTTTGCCTGAACTTCTGATTCACCTTCTCCTGCGGCAATGGGTACGTCTTCTCCATGTTTTGCCTGGGGACCAATCAGCCTTGAGAGTGCATCAGATCTCACCGGACTACATATATGATTAATTGGCTGGCTAGCCAACTGCAATATTTCTATTAGGTCAAGACCAAGCAAATCTAGTCCTGGGCTTTCCGTGAGATACACTTTCACATTCTTCTGTACATTCTCTTTTTTAACTGAGCAGCATATCTCTCCAGCAATATTTAACTTTCCTCCAGATGCACTGTGTGCTAACTGAGTTGTAGGGAGCACCGAGGGTTTGCCAATATGACTCCATGTTTTGCGGCTGATAAGTGAAATATCTGAAGCAGTGTCAAGCTGTAGACGAGCACGGCGTCCATTAATCTCCAAGGTCACATATTTTCTTCTATTATGTTCTGTTCTGGTATGTGCTGCCATTATTCTATTGATTGATGAACAGTTTTTACGTCTTCGGAAATGTACACTTGGTGAACGACGGTGAATCTTCTTCTTACAGCATGTTTCTTTATGTCCTTTGAGCTGACATCTAGTGCACCGGTAGTTTTTGTATGGGCAGAACCTTTTGTAATGCAGCTCTCCGCAAAACCAACATGAGGATGGAGGCTTCTTAATGGTTGCGTTCTGCTTTTGCATATAGGAATCTTTCTTCCCACTTACTGCCTGTACATAAGGTAGTCGACCATTATTCTCTACCATTGAAGTGTCATGCTTCAAGTTCACCAGACGCTGACATTCAGTAGTCACCTCTTGAAGGGTGATATTTGGACACTGTTCAATTTTACTTAGAATTCTGGTTCTGATGTCGGCATCTTCTGAAGACTGTAAGCTGCATACGAAAACAAGACATTTGAATTGGTCTTCCGTCATTGCTGATAGTTTAAAGCGCTCACATTCACGATTTACTATGCTAGCATGTTGCACCCAGTCATCGTTGCCAGCTTTTACTATCTTCAGGCACTGATATCGAATATTGAACAAGGAAGACTGTTCACCAAAAATTTGCGACAAAATTTTAACTGTTTCTTCGAATGAAATGTCTCTTGGGTTCTTGGGCTTTCGTAGTAGCACTCTGACCTTGGCGGCATCATCAAACGCTTCTAGGTCAACATTAAATACATCTTCATATTTCTTGTACCAAGATTCGAATGTTACACCAGCCAAACCATCAAAATGAAATTCGTGAATGGAATCAATGATACAATCAGCATGCGATTTAGCAGAAGCATCTGTAAGTCCATTCTTATTGAGGTTCATTTGCTGGGTTAGTGTTTCAAGTATGCGAATCTGGAATTGTTCAAAGCGTTTTTCATGGCGCTCTAGAAAAGCTTCAAATTGGTCAAAGGTAATAGACATCTTGATAAATTAACCCGTCGCCAGTTGTTATATCTAGAGCCTCGATTATTAATATGCCGCGAACTACTCGTCTACTTGAACGATAGAACCCGCAACGTCGCAAAAAAAGAGAAGACAAAGACTAGTAAGCAGGAAGTTTATTGCCCCGAACAGTGTCAAAATATAGCACAGAAATCTCGTGTATTTATAGTTATTGGCTGAAAATAAATTATCATTTAGGTCAACCAATAAGCATATAGGTGTAAAGACGGCCCGTCGGTAGACTCTAGAAAACTCTAAGAAGCCCAGGAAGAGACGCAGACATTCCATCCAATCACGGCTAGGGGAATGTTCTAGAAATGCCAACGTGGAGCTTCTCCATTGGGTGGATTAGTTTGATACCTATGTGCTTATTGGTTGACCTAAATGATAATTTATTTTCAGCCAATAACTATAAATACACGAGATTTCTGTGCTATATTTTGACACTGTTCGGGGCAATAAACTTCCTGCTTACTAGTCTTTGTCTTCTCTTTTTTTGCGACGTTGCGGGTTCTATCGTTCAAGTAGACGAGTAGTTCGCGGCATATTAATAATCGAGGCTCTAGATATAACAACTGGCGACGGGTTAATTTATCAAGATGTCTATTACCTTTGACCAATTTGAAGCTTTTCTAGAGCGCCATGAAAAACGCTTTGAACAATTCCAGATTCGCATACTTGAAAC